CAAAAGCTTTTAAACTTATAGATACTTCCCTTGCCTCTTAGTCAACATTGATCTTGGTGTAACCAATGATACACTAAGTCAAATTAATTAAATCTAATCTGGTAATCAAATCTAAATTTTTGTAAAAGACAAAATACAAGTGCTCATTACAATCTTCTAGATTACACTAATTTTCCACCAAGTATAATCATTATAGATAAATTTAGTTTTAGCTAGATAAACTTAGTTATAACTAGCTAGACATAGTTATGTCTAGGCTAATTATAATGCACTGTTTGGCTATTTCCAGTACTATAACACACATATAATAACTGATCTTACAGTTCACACACACTTTGACACTCCAAGATGCTGAAAACCTCATTCTTTCATTAATAAAAAAAATCTCTACATATGATAAGAAAAAAACTTACAAACTTGCTTAAGATACTCTTCTCTACGGCTCTATATATACTATTTGAGAAATTATCATAATAACACATGATAATTAACTACTAACTTACTTTACTATGATAAATCATAATAGTTTTGACTAGTTCATAATATGTGACAACATGTCAATGGCCTACTTAAACCTTCTAGATGTTCCAAATCACTAGATTGAGGTGATGACATGTCATTTGAGACTTTTCAACTTCTACTTACTCCATTTGCCACTAAGTTACTTTTAAATTTGGTCTAAGCAATGAAATTTTCATTACTTAGTCAAACCAATCAAAACTTATCATAAAGTCAACAGTCTTTTACCTTAGAATCTAGACATTTGCAAGAGACAAAATAGGATTGCATATTCAAATCTTCTAACACATCCCTTATTATTTAGCCAAGTATAGATATTATAGTTAAACTTAGTCATCACTATATAAACTTAGTTATAACTAGTTAGACTTGGTCATAACTAGCAAGGGTTCATTATACATAAGCTAACCATGATCAACTCTTTGTATACTTCTAATACCACTTCAGATCTACAAAAACCGATCTTACATGGCAAGAATGGACACACAAAGAAATTGTACTCTAAAGCTCAAAGTTGCAGTTTCTATTCCATTGACGAACGTTGCAACCCTTGAATAGCGAAATGTTGGATCTAAACAACAAGATCCAGATTTATAATCCATAAGAGAAAGAGATCCCAATCTATGGGTGAGAGGAAAAGATCCTAATCCAAGAGTAAATTCTTTGAGAGTAAGATGGTGGTTTGTTGGAGATGTGGCAAGAGTGACCATATCAAGAATGATTGTTGTGTAAATGTCAAATACGCTATTTTTCATGATGAATGATGCAGAGGACTTTAGACCCTAGGAGTACAATTTTGTGAATGATGAACTATGATATGAAAGGTACTATAGGCTATGAGATCTAGTAGCTTGTAATGTTATTGTTTAGTAATGATGTTTCTTTCAATGAGCCTAGATCGTTGAAAGAGGGAGATATTTCTTAGGCTCTTCATACTAACAAGGTAAAATTTTCACTCACGCATATGATTTTGGGAAAGTTTAATCATTATGTGATAAATGATCCAAAAATTGCATCAATATAGTGGAATTCCTGAGAAACAATAACTACAAGAAAGTTTCAAACAACACTGTGCTACTATGTAGGTTGTAAATGGGAAGCAAATGTAGAGTTTGCTAGCATAATATCTTCAATTATTTTATGAATTGATTACTCTATCATGTGATGGTTTCGACTTAGTTCTATTTAACTCTCGTGTACAGAGAAGCATTGTATAAAATTTCTTTCTAGAACTTTTTGTGCAATTATTATATACGTTACGAGGTTTTTGTTCCTTCTATACTTGTGATTTTTAATAATCTCTTTATATTATTACTCTATTTTGTTATGACTACATCTTAATTCTAGTTAATTCTAATATAAAGATGAACCTTGTGTTAGATTTCTATATAGAACTTCACGCAAAGTAATAATATAAGTTTTATAGGTTTTTGTTTCCTTAACACGAGTTAATCTCAACAATCTGCCCCTTAATTCGTGATATATTGTTCAGATTAACTCCTATTAGAGATTAAACTCAAAGTACTAGCTATTTTTAGCTAGGACAATCATCAGTGCTTGAGTATTTAACCCCATGATTTGTTTGTGACACACTTTTTTTTACATATTGAAGTAAATTCACTCGTGTACATTTTTTCCGTGGGCATAGTACTCTAATGATCAATCACGTTATACGTTGTGTCTCGCGTGTTGGCATGAGTTTCGCTGATTCACTTTTGATGATTCTATTAACCTAGTTGGATGCATTACTTGTTAATTTAGTATGGAGAAGTGTTAAACCATTTTCAATTCATAATTGAAGTTGAGTATGTAATAGTAGAAGCAACGAAAATAGATTTTTTGATTGAATAGAGTAATCACTACGATGAAATTGAAACATGCTGTTATAATAATGATGGTATGTTATATTTTACTACAAATTAAATGATAGATGACAGAGTGAAACACATCCATATCAGATATCATTTTATCAAAGATGAATTTTAATAAGAAGTTTGAGTTACTTAAGATTTACAAAGAATTCATTTGTGTTAATGCATTGTTTGATTGTATGAATTTAAGATCCATTGTGATATTTTGCATGTTTTGCATGAGGATTGAGTTCAATGTTGAAAGTCTAAACTGAAAATCGATAAAGTGTTTTGAAAAATGTTACAACTTTATTAATTAATCTCAAAAACTATTGTTTATACAGAACTTTTATTCAAAGATGACATTGAGGTATTAAAAATATAATACCTCAAATTCTCAGTCAAGTTTTTTAAAACCGGAATAGATTACATGTCAAACAACTCTCCTCATTTAAGATGTTATCATTTTCTTCTAAAATGATTTAGAAAATAATGCTCTTGTGCCTAGTGCATAGGCACACACCAACATCAGAAATTAAGATATTATCTTGGATCCAATAATAAAACATATGGCAGACAGATTCATGTGGGTTTTTTTTTTCCATCTCATGATTGACTATTTAGTGTCATCGACACAACAAACATTCGATATGAAGGTGAAAGGGCACAAGCGGATGACTTAAGAGGCGGGATGCGTATGAGTACATATAATAAAATCATGAGGGCTCCGACAGGGGAGCAGTTTGGACCGTTTATGTCACTCCCAAAGGGTAACTTTCCAAGTCACAAGGGAGATTTGATACAGAATCTTGTCTGCTAGGAAGTTGAGTAAATTCGTTGGGCTATCTTTGTTGAACCTACGACCTTTTATATAACAAGTAACACTGGCTGAATAAAGGTGAAGTGAAGATGACGCATCCTGGTTTATAGGTGAATATTGGATTGATGAAGCCCAACTTTTAAAATTTATCAAAATCGTGTAGAGACTTAAAGAATATATGGTATTGAACCTTCAAATCGTTTTCATATTAAGTATAGAACCTTGTTTCGTTAATTTAAGAAAAATATGTAAATGATATATAAAGTAAAAGCAATATTCTTTGTAATTCAACTGTTATTCAAATAAGCACTCTTCTGCCTACATTAGGACTATCGACAATCTTCACATCTCATTTTAATATTCACATTTCCCGATAATTCAACTTTTAGGTTGCGACTTTCCTGTTCCGGTATATTCTTTATGGTCTTCTCAATGTCTTTATTTAATTATTGCAATTTAGTCAAACAAGGCCTAATACGAGCAATACTGTAGTGTGTTATGTATTTTTAAGAATTGAGTATGTACGATTTTAATATAGGAGCAATACTGTAGTGTGTTATGTATTTTTAAGAATTGAGTATGTACGATTTTTATATAGGAGCAATGCTGTAGTTTGTTATGTATTTTAAAGAATTGAGTGTGTACGATATTAATATAGGCCCGTATCGTCAGGCCTTTGTAACTTCCAAATTCCTGAATTCAATAGCGGATTTAAGTTCAAGGAGTTCTTGGTTCCACACCACAGTCAATATTTAAAACGGCAATTCGTTAATTAACCCAGCCAATGTTTAAAAGGTAATTCGTTATTTACCCCGGCGAAGATGCTTATTAATGAACATGAATGTGTGACCAAAAGACTTCCTGTAACATTCGATTTAGGAGTGACCCAACACAGAAGCACCTTGCTGGAAAAATCCCCAGTTATCATTACCTCTGGCAAGATCCTTCTCCAAGTTTATCATCTTAAGTGGTTAGTACAGCGTCACGCTAAGAGAAACACAAAATTTCAGTCTCAGCTCCGGAACCAGAAGCCTTTTGCACTTAGGACTCCTCTTGTAAGCTTATACATTCAACCAGAACTGTATAATGTTGACGATACCGCGAAACCTTGTAAAGTTGGTTACTCAAAACATCTGACTCATTCTCACGTTTATGCAGAACCTAAACCCCGTCAACTGGAGAATCTCATTCATTCACGGTGTTTCAACCTTCAATACTATCTACAGTGCTTTACACCGTCCTCAATGATCTAACTCAACGACATTTAAATAGTGGGGCAAGACTCCATCACGAAAGAAGTTCCTACGGCAGAAGAAGCATCAAATTGTGACGGCCGTATTCATCTGATAAATGTAGGAGCTGAAGGACAGAATTTACGAAGAATGGCATCATAGAGTGGCAATTGCCAACGGCATACATCTACCAGATAATGATCATGGTAAGCAGATAGGAATACCAATGTAGAGAAGACCGTCTTAGGTCTGCAGTTTGAATATAACCCGTGGTAGGTCTGCAGTTGAACATAATCCTTTAACCAGGTTATTAGGAGTCCAATACATTTGCATTTGAAGAGGAGGAATTACAATCGCGAGTTGATTACTTGGCTGTAGCCACCTCAGTGTATGATCATCTGGTCTACGGTCTGCACCGCACTAAGATGTTACAGCTCTCCATTGTTGCGCCTAGGCGGACAACAGAGTCCAATCCAGCTTTCTGGCGCACAAATTTTCGCAAACAAACAATTCGAAATATAAAAAATTAACTCCAAAAGATATGTCGTTCATCATCGATCCCCTGACATAAAAACCCTTCAAACATCAGGTCAAACAACGCCAATGCAAAAACATCGACCTGACACTAATGATTCGACACAGAAATCAAACTCGGAGTTAGATAGGCATCTCAGGAATTGGTGTGCCAGATAAACAACGTCATGTAACGTGCCGCTTTACTTCTGGGACCAACACAGCACAAAACAGTTGGTGGACTGACAAGAGCACGAAGTCAACCACCTTTCTGACATCCGCTAGCATAAAATCGAAGGACTACACAAATCCCTCTCCACTTACTAACTACAAAAAACCACCAAGCAGACTGACATGGATAACAGAAACATTTAGTACCACAACCTATATATAATATAGATAATAACTTTGATGACTTTGATATCTATTTTAGCTGCTAAGTATGAATGTACTCAACCTGAATATCTTGCCCAAAACTGACCTTGACATGGTGAGGGAAAATGAAACTCCAGAATGACAAGAACCATAATCTGCTGTCAGTGTTGAAACTACAGAGGCCACATAAATACTTAATAGTCTGCGAAGACAAACTATGTTACAGTGCTGTTGAGCTGCGAGGACTTACTAATTTTACTGTGGCGGCCGTCCAAGGATGCTGATTCTAGCAGCGAGTTAAGCATACGGTTAAAATGGTGTGTACATCAGTGAAAACACAGCCTAGATCCAGACAAGCAATAAAAAAGATGCTATAGCGCCTGCAGCTGACAAGTTTCATGAAGTTCTCGCCCACAGCGCTCACATCATAGTTCCCAATTTTCCCGCGCTGGTGCAATCTCAGATAACAAATCCACTTCTGGTGGACAATCCGTTCGAGGCCCAGCTAGAGTGCAGTACGCCAGAAGCTGGCCTGGCAACTGAGACGATCCGGAACAGATTTCAACATTCCAGAAAGGGCGAGCCCTCGCCAAAAGTCTACCACCAGCATCAGTTGCCTGGTACCCTTGCACCCACATGTATTTCAGACTGTTCTTCATGCTCACAGCTGCAGTTGCAAGTCCAGCCTCAGTTACGGGACAATCTCTCATCTCCAGCCTCTCCAATGACTGACAACCCACCGCTAAACGAAGTAAACCCTGATCGGTTTCTCCGGCACAGCCAAGTAAGATCCACTTGAGATTGCCTCCATACTCCCCGATGTAACCCATGCCTTCGTCAGTGAGTCCCCCATGCCGGACATACAACGCAAATCGGGTTAATTTCCGACACCCTTTTAACAAACATCTTACACCTTGGTCCAGAGGTAAATCATCCACCGTTCCCAAGGTCGAGAGTAGAACGAAACGGCAATCCTTCATATTTGGGCAGTTTTCACCGAATGCTCTGAGGGTAGCATTGTTGATGTCCACAACATACATTACAAGAAACTCGAGCTTAGTGCAATTTTGCGCGATGGGGATCATGCCTAACGGGGAGAGGAAACCTTCCCCATCACTCTCATCAACTCGGATTCGCCTCAACTGCCTGCAGGTTCTAGCAACCATTATGAGTCCGTCATCTCCAAGCACATTTCTCACCTGCATTCAGGAGAGATAAAATTAGATAGTCAGCTAAATATAAAAGGGAAAGAACAAGAAAGAGACTCTCTCAAGCAAGGACACAAATAATTATTTAATTGCAACCATGGAACGATGAGAGACGCCACGTATAAAAGCGGCCAAGGTCCTACTTCAAGTCAGATTGACGGTCCCTACAGGGCTTTCTCCTCAGCGCTGGCTTGAAACTCTACCAGAATAGACAAGATCCACATCCAAAATCCAAAATCTTAAAGACATCTGAACTCATACAAGTCATAATATATTATTCTATACTTGCTGCAAAAGACTAAAGATCTCAAGCTTAAGTTACATGCCTCCAATTCCTCCAAACTGACGCAATGACTAAGAATCTGAACGTGACCCTGAGCACTCAGAAGAGTGTACTTGAGATCCAGCTTCTTCAGATTTGGGAGAAGATTGGCCACCATGGGAAGTCCAATCTCATTCAACTCATAAAGTCCTGAAAGAGCGATGATAGTTCTAGGCAAGTCAACACCTCCCGCCCTTAGGGGGTCTCCGATACTGGCACAACATCCTGTTCCATGTTCTCTCAAATTATGGGCTTTGCTCAAGACACCCCTCATATCCAAAATGTCGATCTCGCTGACTTTGAGAGATCTCAAGGATCTGCAGTTCTCTACGACGCCCTCTAAATCAGTAATGCTGATGTCATCGAACTCATGCAAGTACTGAAAGTTCAAATCCTCCAACGTTGTATTATTGAGAGCCAGCTCATGTAACCATTCACCGCCTCTTTCCGAGGGACTGATAGCACTCTCTTCCAAATATAACACCCTGAGAGATCTGAAATCCAAGAAGTAGGCTGAGTTAGAAGAGTGTTCACAAGCTCTAGTTCGATATGAAACTCTGATCTTGTTTCCCGATCCTATGATACTGTAAGCAATAAAATTCCAGAATGTATAGCCGACATTGAATCGACCAAAACTTTACTTACAGCAGCAGCAGTATGGGATAACACTGACTATGCTAGAATACGCCTATAGAAAAAAAAGAGCACTGAAGTCACACTTAAGTTGAGAATGATCATATACCGAAACATTACTGCGGATACACGTGTCAGATATGTTCGTACACGACATAAAGGTACATCCTATAAGCTCTGAAGAACCTTCACTTCACTTACCAAGACATAATAGCAGCCATCTACCGACGTCCAAAACAAATTACTTCTTTAAATAACATCAAGTTGGTTGACTGATTTAACATTCACGAATGACACTAAATGAGATGAAACGACGACACCTTCGTGAAAGCAACCTCATTTTAGTTATAACCACAGAATCTAAGACATGTCGACAAACATTGGTGGCCATCTGATCAGGAAACCAAAACGTTACTCATTCGATATCATAGCCTCGGTTGATACGGCCTGAGGTCAACTTTCCTGACACTACATGGGAAGAAGCACACCAGTTCTCTTAAAATTACAGTTCTGTTTAAATTATGGAACGGTTCGAGATCCACGTATTGGTCAACCTGTTGGCCACATCAACAGGGAAAATTACGTACTTCCAAACCTTCACAATGCTGAGGGATCTACATTGTTGAACAAGGTGCAGACGAGAATATTGGATGAACCTGAAGCTTAGGGTCATCACATTGGCTCCTATAAGCAGTTCACACTAGCCAGGAGGATGTGAATCTTCATTGCATTCATGTGTTTCGGTGCGTGCAAGTGGTTCCCAGTCGGAGATTTACCTCTGGCTGTCAACCATTTATTTAACAGCTTATGACCATAGCACTGTCAAAAAAAAAAAAACAGTTTTCACAGTCCACAGCCACACCGACTTACTGACGTATTCTCTCACTCGTGTCGACTGAGAGAATACGTCAGTAAGTCGGTGTTGAAGAGGCTACGTCCAGCTGGGAAATACTCCCTATTTGCTCGACTACCAGGGAACGTTCTGTCCACGGCCTGCTTCTCAGAAACAGTCATGCCTCCAGCACCAGAGTGACCGCTATCGAGAGAACTCATGGACGTATCCAGCTTAAGACTTATTGATATCCCAGGTCACAGAATGCAAAATGGAGCTGCGCGTTTAAGTCGTTTTAGGATATGTGAAAGGAGACTGAAGGAGACTGAAAATAGCAAAAGACCAAAAGGACCGAAAGCGGGATATAAATAAATACGCTGCTGTCAAAGTGTACCTGCAATATGTGGTGATGTCATGTATGCCGGAAGTGGAAAAACCCGAGCATTTGTGCAGCTTGAGAACTTGTAGCGACTCCGAGCAAGACTGGGCGAGCAATGTGAGATCAGCATCGGTAACATGCATACGACGCAACCACAAACTCTGCAACCTCTGCGCGTAGCCTCGAGCAACCTCTGCCACCCAGGGCCTGGCATATCCACCCCAGTTCGGAACGAGCAGCTCATACTCGAAAGCTCGAGGCTTGCCCTTAATCTTCAGTGATTGTAAGTTCGGGAACCTCCGGGACAGAGCAGCAGGAGCGACGCTGTAACAGTTAGCTATGGACACATGCTTCCTCGTATTCGCATCCACACGCCGCCACTGACGGCAGACCTGCGAGACGGCTTTTCGGTCGCCAGGGCTGTCGAGATGCGCAAATATGCACCCGAGTGTCTCATCCGAAACTCTATTCGCCCCGGCCGGACCCCTCACCTCCATCGCTTACCTCCCACCCCGCCCCGTCTTTACTCGCCACCCAGCTTCCCTGCCCTGCCCTGCCCTCCCCTCCCCTCCCTATCTTCGTTCCGTTCCCTTTTCCCCTGCTCTTTCGGAGGAGCGACGGCTCGCGTGCGTTCTGACCCAAACTTCCCTTTGCCCCCGCCTCCTCTTTCTTCCGCCCCCGTCCCTGTCCTAATCCTGTCTTTTCTTTCTGCGTCGTCGTCGTCCTCCTCCTCCTCCTCCTGAACTTCAGTGCCTTCTGTCCTGCGCTCTCGCAGCTGCTGCTCTTCCTTACCTCCCTCTCCTCCTCTCGTCCTCTCCTCTCCCCGCCGCACCCGCAGGCGAGGCAGGTGCAGCGAGTTCCGTCTCGCCCCTCGATCTTTTCCCGTTTCTCTCTCTCTCTCTCTCTCTCTCTCTCTGCCTCCTCCGCGACGTCGGCGATTCTCACAATCCCGAACGATTCCCCTTCTCCTTATTTCCTTCCTTCCCTCCCTCCCTCCCCTCCTGCCGGCACCTCCTCTCTCCGTCTCTTTTCTCTCTCTCTCTCTCGCCGCTCGCTCGCTCGCTCGCAACTCTCGCACTGTACTGAGCTTTGGTTCGTTCGTGTGCGTCAGGGCTGGACCGGATTGGACAGCTCCCGCCCGCCCTTGCCTTCCCTCGCCTCCCCTCCCGCGGCCGACACTATTCTCCTCCTTCTGTCGTCACTTCTTCGGCAATGCGACGATATGATGTGCTGCAGGAGCAGCAGCAGCGAACAGCAGCGCTGTATCTGTATGTACTACGTACACGGGCTCCGCTCTCGGGGGGTCGTTCGTCTCGTCCAGTCTCTGTAAGTGTCTGTGTGCCTGCCTGCCTGCCCGCCCGCCCGACCGACTCACTCACTCAACGCCCCCTCTGACCAATCCACGCATTCGATCTCCCCCGCCCCGCCCGCTCGGAGCCCCCGCCCCCCGCTCCTCTGCGGCTCTGCGGCCTCCGCCTCCTCTCCGGAGGAAGGGGAGAAGACATGCACCAACAGTCGCCAGTCGTAGCTTAACGACGCCGAACGAGCCGCCCTTCGCTCCTTCCTCGGAGCGCGGCCTCCCGCCTAGGATTCCCCATCCCGAGCCTCTCGCCTCGCCCCGACCCGCCTAGCGACCCCGACGCCCGCGATCCCTCGCTCCCTGCAACCCTCCGCGGCCCGTCCAGGATGTACCTCGCGTTTTACCCTCGGGCTCTTCCCTCGGACCCCTACGCCTTCCCGGCCGGGTGTGCCAACCGGCGACGCAGTCGACCGAAATAACTTGCCGGGTAATGACCTGCTGGCACGTGTACCGGCCCTTGATTCGGGAGCCTAGGAGCCGCACCGTGGCGAGATTTCGGAGACCGGGAAATATCCTGTCAGACGGCCACGTCCCGTCTCCGAGCCTCAGACTGAGCCTCGGCCCGATCCTGGCCTGCAGCCGAACGGCCATTAATCATCTCCCCCCCTGTACTCGACAGGACAGGGTGAAATTCCGAAGGCTGCCTCCTGCCACGGGGTCGAAAGCCTTCATGCGTCTATTTTCCGGAGGACAGAATGAGAAAATCTGAGGGTTACTGCAAAGATCCGAAGATCGGATCGGACAGGACATTCACATGCCGTCAGAAGGCCGGGATGAATATCCGAAGGTCATTCATTCATCATAGTTACCCGGGCATCGGACCTGGATTCGGCCCGAGACTCGAATTGATCCGTCGGACGAGCGCGGGTCGTCTTCGATGCACCCATCAGATGTCCGCTGGTCGCGTCAGCAGAGAATCCAATGCTTTTCAAAATCCGCTCCATTCCGCCCCCTCCACCACCCTCCCCCCCCCGGACCCCTGGTTCTTGTCTGGAGTACATTGCCTTGTACTCCACATGCTTCATACCTCTTGCTATTCTTTATCCCCGAAGGGCCAATTGAGTGTGGGACCGGGGGTTCGCCGTGGGTGTGGACCACTTACCGGATAGCAGAAGGCCTTTGTGTGGATTCCGAATCATGTGCACAGTACCTCTGTCCTGGACCGGAGCGAGTCGTTCTTTCGCTCCCCTCGCTCCTCAACGTTTATATCCATGCTTCTCCCCCCTCTTATCTTGTCTCACCCGAGATCCGCCACTGTAGCCCACCTACTCATGCTCGTAACGGATGATCGTTCCAAGCTTCCCCATCATTGTTTGTAAATCGCGTCCTCGTTCGAATTCAAACTTTAATACGGAAATCATCGCCCGGCTTGTTTTCTGAGCACCTGTCATTCCTCGACCACATTGTCTCCATTTTTCAAAGCTCTGGACACAAGATCTTCGGATCTGTATTGTTCTCTCTTTCGAGTACGGGCTCTAAGCAAGCAATCAGCTTTGCAGCTGTTTACGGGTACATTTTTCCAAAATCTTAAAGGTCGTGATCGACTAATGTGACATAGATTCCCAGAGTGAGCAAACCTTCTCAGTTAGTCACCTCCGATATCCATTTTCTCGAGGAGTATTGACCACCAGGATTGTTTAAATTTAAGGGTCTTCGGGATAAGAAAATTCTGTAAATTGTGGGGATAGGCCAAAGTGCCCAAAACTCCTCACATTCCCGCAACTCTGTTATACCCTAACGTCCGTATTCAAATTCGAAGAAGGGGGCATGCAGAGAAACTCCCAAAAGAAGAGACGAAGATGATTATTTCAAAAATTTGACATTGACTTGATATCTACTGTATAGTGTCTTTTTCCCATAAAAAAATGTACAAGTGTCTTCATATAGGTCAAAATATTATAAATACATTAAGGACATAAATTTAACTTTTAATATTTTATACTCTGTATATTTGATTCATACATTTCATATATGAATCAAATCTAGAAATGTAGACGTTATTCTTCAGCGGACAAGAAGGATGAGCACTATTTAGAGAGATCCGACCATCTATTAATTTATTGTAAAATAACTATAATATTTTTCTCAGTGTTTTGAGAATTATCTATGATCATGCATAGCAGTATTACCAAGCTGTACTTCTTCATGATAGAATCGTTTATGTTATGATGGCATAGAAGTTCTATGGGGGAGGAGAGAGAGAACTAAAGAAAATGAACCTTGACTTTTCTCTGTCTTGTTGTATTTTCTATTGCAAAGGACACGCATCTGCTATGATAGATGTATTTTCTTGTCTCTTTCGAGACTCGCCAGGTCTTTGTTCTTCAGGTTTCTACAATCCTTGGAATGTTTACACCACGACAGATGAATTTTGCTAAATAATCAGCACACGATTCCTTCTTAACTCCTCCTCCGATCCTGATAATGAAGCTTCTCATCATCTGATTTGCCCTCCATTTCCGCACAGACGGAAATCCAGCAGATTCGCTGCACCAGGAAGTCCCCCGGTTTGTAATATATTAATACGATAAACAGAGTCTAATTGTTTTCCAATAGCTCGTAATGGAGAGCACGGAATTCAAAATACCACGTTATGCACAGCACGATTTTCTGTCTTGCACTTTCAGAGCAGTGATTAATCCGTTTCAAAATTATTAAATCCGAAGAGTAATATAAAATTCAGTACTTCCAAAACACGCAGAAACGGAACCTTTTCTACGGTTTGCATCATCCATCCAATACCACGCAGCCATGTTCTGAATGTGAAGAGAGAGATAGAGAGAGATACAGACAACAATTGGACGGTGGATTAATTTGTCCTTTCATCGCGGTGGAAGGACGAAAAAGGTCCTTTCACATCGAGTAATTTCTGCAGTTGGGTGACGGGCAATACCAAGTTCTGCCGAGCACCCCGGGCATACAGAAGGGTAAAGCCCTGGGTCCTCACTATCATCGTCATCCCGAGAATGTACTTTATTGAAAGCGTATATTTCTGATGGTGATGCTATTGGGGCTAGCCCCGTCTTATTCCTCGGGTTTTATCCGTGTGCGGCTCGATGGGGTCTTCCCCCACATCCTTTTGCGATCTATTTGCCACCGCCTGCCTTTATGGGATTTGCTGTCTCGCCGGAGGTCACCCGGTGACGCCGGTGGCAAGATGCTAATTCTGGTACGGTACCACCGGCAGGGGCTGGTAAAAGGTCACCCCCCAAATTCGACATGATGAAAACTGAGAAATGCCGAACTGAGCCGTTCGAAGAATAACTTTCCGTTCCTCAGCGCCACGGGCGCGCGCATTCAATTCAATTGCATTTGAAAGGATTTGGCGACAACATTCCCCCCAACACGAGTCACGACGGGACGTGACGCGACACGTCAGCGGGCGCCCATGTGATGGCGCGCGAGCTTCTACTCCTTCCGGTCGGTCAGAGAATGGAAAGTTGACTGGAATAATGGGCAACGCCCAGCACCCAGAGCTGCGTACCAGAGGACAACTTCTTTCCAAATCGGTCGTACTTGCTACGACCATCGGAATGCATCGCCAGCAGCAGCAGCAGGCCGATGTCTTTTAGCACGTCCCTTCCGACACTGTCCGAAACCTCCTGAGGCAATAGTATGGCAGTGCCTTGCCGCTTAGTTTATTGCTAATTCCAACCCCTCTCGCTGCGTCGGCCGGTTCACGGTCCAGCACGACGCCTCGGCCTTCGCGTCGGAATCATACGCCAGCTGCCATCGCCCCCTCCGCAGCGACCGCGCAACGGCGATCCGCCACTGTGCGCAGCCGCCCACCACTATAGCTTTCGGATTTGCTTTGCTGCCTCTAAATTAAGACCTTCCGCTGTCCTCTACATGGCGATCTCTCTCCTGTATTCGAGCAGTGTCTCCAGTTCCTTCCCGGCCTTTTCGCCTCCCCTCTATTTTGGCTTTTGGCCTCTTTGTCCCCCGCGAGACTTCGCTTCCCACCGCCGGTACCTCGCTCCGCTTGTCGGCGATCAGTCCACGCGAACGGCGAAATTTTCCCGGCGATATAATGAATCGTGGGAAAAGGCAGCTTCAGTTTCAGCTGAAAAGGTCGCGTCTGAGCTTCGGTAGACATGGCGGTGTGTGACTTTTAAGAAATGCTCGGCAAAGGTGACAGGAGTGACCGACGAAAATTGAAGCGATCGTCTCCGGGGATTTAGTGCACATCGAGCGCATCTCCTTTCGCTTTCGTCGACTTTGCATAAATGCCGGCGCCGACGACCATCGCTTGGTTAGAGTTGCCGCCTAGGGCTTTCCAAAGAAGGGCAAGCTTCAAGTCGGGAAAGTTTGACCCGCCATTTAGGAGCCCGATGCCCGAAAAAAAGCTTAGGTCCAAATTCTAGTCTTAGGCATTCTGCCCCATATTTTAGGACCACGGCCCGCAAGCCCAACCGACTCTGAATCTGGAAATATACGATAACATACCTTCGACTCTCCCCAAGTGCAGCACATCGTGAGTAGCTTCATTTGTTTCACTAGGACGGTGCATTGAACTGGCGTCTCTATTATGTCATAGGATTGTGTTCATGAAAGTTTAGTGCCCGAGATTATCTAAAAACTTGGTGCATGCTATTCCACGAAACAATCGCCTCTTCATGGATGCCAACCAAGGCTAGCCAAGTTTCAAATAACTCGGCATTCTATGCTTCATGTCTGTGATATAGTGCATTTGCACTCGGAAATTGGCTGGTAATGAACTCGTGTGTATATTGCTGTTAGTGAGACCCTGGAGTTTGCATTTATCGCCCATGTTTCTTTTCCGGAAATAACACACAACATTGAAATTCTCACGGTACATAGCGTATTGCGTTTACGTATGCTATATTCGGACAGAATGTCACTCCATATACAACTTTTCTAGACGGTCTTTCATATTGTAAAGTTTTGCATGTATGTGGTTCATGTGGAAATTTTTAATATGTGGTAAATGATTTATCATCTAAGCCTATATGATATTGACTCTATTTAATTGTGGATATAGATCA